TACAGCCAAATACACGAATATCTGTGTGTACACACATACAAACATGCATGTGTGCGTCTCTGGTGTGTACAAAAAGTCAACTTAATGGTCTCCTGTCGTTTTCAAAAAAGGTAAACACACAAGAAATACTCATAGTTCCCTACGTCTTTCAAATTAGACTCTAATAATTTAAAGTTTTTATTGTTTGTTTTTCGACCACATATTTCATTGCGATTATGCACCGCAGCTCTATTTTCGTCATTATACAAGTGGAAATTATTTGTCTTTTAAGTGTGTAAATGTTTTTATGTGCTTTGTTTTTATTCAAGGATACCGCAAAAGGCACAATATGATAATTTGTTGGGGCAGAGATGGCGGCAGGGTTAATGTGGTACGAGCGAGACGGCACGGAACAGTGCGATAGAAAGAGAACGCGAACTTGAGAGAGCAAAGAGCGAAAGCTGAATTACAGCTGCGATATTGTAATTGTGAGCAGACAAATGCGACAACAAAACGTAATAGCAACAACAGAATGCTCACGAGGGCCACGGCAATAATGATAACTAAACGCAAGAGCGCCGCCAGCGACAGCGGCAGAACTGTCAACAGCAATGGCGACCATATGTCAGAGCGAGATAGCAACAGCATCAGCAGCAGCTTCCGTCCGGCGTCTGGATGCTTGGCCTACATAACAAAAACAGTTGCAGCTTCACTGTTATGCGGACATCTTTGCGGGAGGGGGCGTGGGTAGCGAGACGAATGGCAGGCATTGTCGGTAGGCAGCAGTCAGGCGTTGGGATGAGTTGACCAAAGAGAACGACGCAATAAAGGGCCTCTTGTTATGTGCACATGTCTTTTAGACTTCTCTGTTGTCGTTCATGCTGCTTTTCATTGCCACTCGACGAATTTTTAACGGTTTGCCAGCAGCCACGCGAATCTTTTTAATTTGTTTAGCCCCACTCCTTCCCCGCTTGCGGTGCAAGTGGCGCACTTCAACCGTCGCCTGTATGTGGAAAAGCAGGCGCAATTTCCTTTCAATTTCCTTCCAGGCAAGCAACAGCAAATTGCCATAACAGGCACTTAATGGAAATTTCTCTCTGGCCCTCTGCCGGCCGTTGGTCAGTGTTTACCAAACAGTTATTTCCTTAACAACGTCAACGACATTCATTGGCTACTTTCCCATTCACAGTATTTGTTTTTTTTTTTTTTTTGCCAGAACGAAGTACTTACGACTCGTAATGGATTTTTCGGACTGACAACCAAATTCTTGCTTACATTTGTGATATATGTAATTCCCAAATATCTGTCTCAGAATTTTGGTGTGCATTAATTGTTGTATATTTGGGAACAAGTTGTATTTTGATTAAAATAGAAATGGAAAACGGCAAAATTTTTGTTTGTTTGTGGTCGCTTATCTAACAGGTTCCATGGTGTAATGGTTAGCACTTAGGACTCTGAATCCTGCGATCCGAGTTCAAGTCTCGGTGGAACCTGAGCAGCATTTTATTAATTATTTATTTTTATTATTATCAATAATAATAAATACCATCAGTCGTTGCAAGATTTCTATATTGAAAAATGTACTTATCAATTGAATAATTCGATAATAAAAATCAAATTATTCTAGACAGACTCTTGATTCTGAACAGGAATATATATTGAAGATGCCTTCTTCTTGCTGTTAATTGTATTTGCACATTTTCAATGAACTCTTTTAACTATTTTATTGTATTGCAACCTTTTGCGGCCCCATAGTTTTTAGGTATTCAAAGCAGGTCAACCTGAATGTCATTTTGGGGACCACGCGAACAGTTATGTGTCGGAACGAAATTTAGGAATACACAATACTAACGCAGCAGTATTAACGGTAGAACTACGAACAACAATAACACAGCAACTGTGAATGCAAGAGTAACTGTAACTGCGACATTTGAAAGCAGCCATAAAGGATTATGGCCGCAACCAGGGCTCAGGGCAGGGGTTATAAAACATCTGCGTGTGCGAATATGCATGAATAAAATAACAGAACAAACTATAAAAATGTATTATGCAAAGGATTCTTGGCGCGAAGTTGGATAAGTTTATAATGGCTGCAGGTGGCGACCCTTTTACCACGTGCACCGCAAAATAGGTTAGGCGAGTAATATGTCACTGGGCAGTACGAATAATTATCTCATGGCAATCAACACGAAATGGGAAATGTTATGCACAGGATGTCTCTTTTTACATTGTAGCTCATTAATTTATGCATGCATGTATTATCGATATTTATGTTGTTAATGCTTTTCACTTTTTTTGACTACCGAAAAAAACACGAGGCGCCGCGTTGCGACAGGCAATCAACCAGCGCGCTCCGATGTTAAACGAAAACTGAGCATTTAAGGACATTTACGATTGATTTTATACCGAATACACGACTGTCCAAATTCGCCTAGTCGTGTTATTGCCTTCAGCTCTATTGTTGTTGTTGTGACACAGAAAACTTCGTTTTGTGAATAGCCGAAAGCGAAAAGAGAGAGCGTGCCCGAGCCCGAGTCCGAGCCCGAGCCGCAGTTCGGAGTGAAAGCTTTTGAGCCTTGTCCACAGAGGCTAGAGCTTTCGTATTCCAGCAGGTTGTTTTTTGTTTCGCCAGCCTATTAAAATTACAATGTGACTTTTACCTAATAAGCCCTAGAACACACAACGACTTTGTTAGCCAATTTAATTACTTTTTTCAACTCTTGAAAAACAAAACATTTGAAATATGCCGCCATTCAAAAGTAGTCCGATTTTTACTTGATAACAAAAGAAAAACAAGAACCGTTGTCAAAGAATAATCTTTATGTACCATAAATGCACTCCCCTACAAATTCAGGTAATTGTTATTTATATACTCGATACAAAACTAATAGTTATTATCAATTATTCACAATTGAATACCTAATTGACTTTATACAAATGAATTTTATTAATTTTCAGTGCATTTTACATATTTATTCGATCAATTATTTTCGAATAAAAATAAACTTATAGTTGCTTGGATTAGTTTAAGTTCACCCGATCATTTAGATGAAGAATATACTTTCTTTTTTTTATATTTTCACTTTGCAAAGCTACTTATGCCAAAAGTGAGAAATAGACATGAAATCTTAAAGAGTTGGTTTTATAGTGTCTGTTTAATGAAAGATAGATATTTTGGTGATCAATACACATTGCTGGTTGATACAAAATACACTTATGACAAAATTTTCTCAACGGTTCCATGGTGTAATGGTTAGCACTCAGGACTCTGAATCCTGCGATCCGAGTTCAAATCTCGGTGGAACCTGATTATTAAAGTTTATTTTTCTATTTTATTTTTACTTCTTTTGGCAAAACAAGAATAAAATTCAATAAAATTGTTAAACAGATCTATTTTGTATAGTTTTTCTCTAAACTGACGATTACAAGTTTGTAGGCTTGTATTACAAAATTTTTTGGTGGAGATCGTATGGGTTCCATGGTGTAATGGTTAGCACTCAGGACTCTGAATCCTGCGATCCGAGTTCAAATCTCGGTGGAACCTGAGTTCGAATTCTTCTTTTATTTTTTTTTTTATAATTATATTCAATTCGATTTGAACTGTTACGCTTGAAGACATGTTAGCACGTGTTACTGTTTGAAGAGCTTTCGAGCCACCTGTATACACTCTAGCATAAATCAACAATGCGCCAAAATGCGAAATGCACACGCACACACACATACACAACAATTGCTTGCATGCATATGTGTGCAACACCTATCGGTAAATACACACTGAAATAAACTGGTGAACGCAATTTTGTTATTGCACAGTTATTGACCCTAGGCTTAGAATAGGGAAATTATATGCGATGCAGCATGAAGCGCATCTTATGGACTTACCTTTATCACGGAATAGCCGCTTGTAAGCGTGCCATTCGTCGGCTGTGAAGCTGGTTTGGTGCTCGTGCCTCGTGTAATGATGCAGCCAGTCTGGATACGAGGACCAAATCAATAAAACAATCTTTACCAGTGAGATGGTAAACATTAAACTCAACACAATCGCTATCAATACTTTCAGCGAGCCTTTCAACATAATAAACAAATGCACATGTACACAATTGTTCAAAAGCCGCAGCGCATTCCCCTTCGGATTAAAGCACGCAACACATTTTGTTTAACATTTAACAATTATATGCACGTTCCCAGAGCGAGCCATTTCGCTTTGTTTTTGCGCGTATTTGTGGCATACGGAAAAAAGCGTAGTTAATTGCTTTCAGTTTAGATTTAAATGCATCCGTACATATTTGTTTTTTTTTTTTCTTCTGAACACAAAAACATTAAATGTTACAGAACAAAACAGAATTGTGTTTGATTCGGTGCATTTGCCTTTCTGCTGAACAGCTGACGGACAAGGTTACCGGACAATCGCTGCCAGCAGTCTGGCAGCACTGATGCCAGCCGATACAGAAACCATTCAGTCCATAAGAAAAAACATTCTGCAAGCGACAGTGTGAGCAACTTTATAAAAAGATTCTTTTTTGATATAAAAATAAATGACAATTAGGTTCCACCGAGATTTGAACTCGGATCGCAGGATTCAGAGTCCTGAGTGCTAACCATTACACCATGGAACCGCTTGTCCGCTGAGTGGCAAATGTCATAAAAACTTTACGTTTTGTGTTGTAATTTAAAATTGAAAAGTTCATTACAAAATACAAACAATTAATGAAATAAGGCACTTTTAATAGTGATAAAACGCAAATAAAAATTCGAAAAAATAATTCATTTCATTAGGTTCCACCGAGATTTGAACTCGGATCGCAGGATTCAGAGTCCTGAGTGCTAACCATTACACCATGGAACCGCTTGAACATCGAGTGTCAAAAGTTATATAAAATGTAGCTAACAATTGAATAATATGTACGTGTGGCAGTTTATGGTAAAACTAATTGACGTACAAAAGCTGAATTATTTGGCACTTTCAACTATTTGGTTCATATCATTTTTAAGCTTTTTAATATTTTTAGTTCTTTATTTAATTTTTTTTTTTTGTTTTCATAAGCATCTATCACTAAAACCTAACTAGAATTGCCAGCGTGCGTATTTTCCATGTCCATTATTACTAGTCCAGGTTTAATTCGCCGTCGTTTATCGTTGGACGAGAGGTCTTCTAACCGTAATACGCGTACGGGGATGCATAGCCAGAGTAGGCGGAGTAGGCATAGGGACTGGCGCCATAGTAGAACTGAGGCGACGGTTCTGGGCTGGCAACCGGAACTGGAGCAGGAGCAGCACGAGCAACGGGCGCCGGTCCAGCTACTGCAACAGCAAAGAGGGCGGCGAAGAGAACAACGAGCTGCAAGCGGAGAAGATTGGAGGATTTATTACTGTCTCTTGTTACATCTTGAGAAAGGCTTTTGACTTACTAGCTTGAACATTTTTGGAAGGTTGATTTGATTCTTTAGATGTTATTGAAGGAATTGCAAGTTGGGTTTTGATGCTGTCTGCCAGAGTTGAGGGTCTTTTTATACCCGAATCTGATTCTCATGACTTATTTATGAAGAACAACCGAGTCATGTTCGCATTTATTTCACTTTTTCTTTTTCTTAAAAGTTGTTAATAGTTTTGTCAGCAATCAAAGCGGCTTTGCATTCTAATGCCTTCTTATCGCAAACAATAAGAATAGTTATGTATATATATAAATATATATATATATATATTTAACTGACCTTCAAAGCGATTGGTAATTTGTTTTGATTTTTGGGCCCGCCAAACAAATTTCGCAATGCATCTTGCATATTAATTGGAATTTCTTTGGGGCAGGCTTTTAGCGAAGCGCTGATCGCATTTGGCAGCAATTAAAGTGATAAATGATTGAGTATTTTCAATAAAAGTTGAAAATGACAACAGAAGCCAGTTCTCTGCCTACCAGAATATTAATTTCGAGGCCCACGAAATGCCAATCCGATGCAAACGAAAAATCCGCAAGACATACTTATTCATATCTATTTCAGAAGCGAATTCCAATGGCATCTAGGTCACATTCTATTTTTTCCAGACTGGCATAATACTTCCGTATGGTTACTTAACAATTTGCGTGTAAATTACAATAATCGAAAAAAAAAAAATATAATTTTTATTTCTAGCATATTTGCCATCAAATATCTGCCTGAAATTGAAAAACAATCTGCTTTAAATTAAGCTCACTTGTTAACAACAAAGATATCTTCAAAGAACATTCTATTCTATTCATTTCTCAGTTTAATTGAATTGTCTTAATGCTAATTTAATTAATTAATAATATCCATGCAAAAACTCAATTGTTTATATAAAGTTTAATAAGGATGCGAATCGATCTCATTTCTACTATGAAGATAGTTTCTACGGACTGTACTTTGTCCTTTTTAATCTTTTCATGTTTTTTCAGTTTCTATTTTTATTTATGATCTGCCTTTATTCTCCATTGTGTGGCTGTTGCGTGCAGGCCGCGGCTAGTCGGGCGTTCGGTGAAGGGTTCAACTCCGATCAAAGGAACTTTTCTTTTATTTTTAGTGTGACACACATTTTGTGACATAATTAACCTTGCCAAAGCTTAAAAGTGAGTTGGCATAAAATGTGCAACAAGTCTATAGTTATATTTAAGAGGATTTTCAAAAGTTATTTTTGATTTGTTTAAAGATTTTTTAATTGTTGCTAATGATACGCGCAAATGTTTCGGCTGCCAGCTAATAGATGTACATAGAAATAAATTGAGAATGAATAGAAATAATTTGGGGTAGTCAAGATTATGTGCATACCCTTGCAGAAGCGCGATAATTATTAACGATTTCTTATGATGTAAATTTTTTTTAATATAATTTTACATTTACACAAAATAATTCAGGCTGTAAAAGTTTTTTTATAGGGGCCCATTTTTGATAAAATTTGGCTGATATATTAGGATATATTATAAAAAAAAAAAGCAAACAAATCTGTTCGACTAATATTTTAAAGACAGAAAATACCTTAAGGTGATGTATTTCTCATAAAAGAGAGAGTTCTACTACGAGAAAACAGATCCTTACCTTTGAATATGCCAAGATGCATCAGAATAGTTGGGAAAGATTCTTGGATGCACGGCACAAGCGATGACAAGATTATAATACCCTAATTCAAGCAGGCAAGCAGGGTACTTACGGAGTCCGGGCTGGGATGACAAATACGATTGATTATGGGCGCGTCGTGACGTCTCCCGGAATCGGGATGATGACGCGAAGTGCATGCGAAATTTTTGTGGCCATCCATTCTTGAATATAAAAGGCAGCAATGAAGCGCAAACGCGCAGTTGATTCTCTGTGCGTTCAAAGTCGATAGCTAAGATACTTTTTGATCATGTTGAAGCTGGTAAACGGCATGAAATGGGGAACCTTAACGAGCATAGATAACTCAACTGGGCGACTTATATATATTTTTCAGGTGTTCCTGCTACTCGCTGCACTGCTCGCTCTAGCCGCGGCAGTGCCAGCTCCTGTGCCTGGACCGAAGCCCGAACCCAACCCGCAATTCATTTATTCCGCAGGCTATCCGGCCGTGGCCTATGCATCTCCTTATGTCTACTATGGTTGAAATGACTTCTAAATGATGACAATAAAGTTTTTCAAGCTATAGAACAGCATTTAAGAGTATTATGCTTTTTACACATTTCTTTTAAGAAGTCAAATAAATGTCAAAAGTCATATATGCTAGGACAATAGCAAGAAATATATGCAAGCAATATAACACATATCCGAAAAGGATTCAATTTTCATACGAACAAAATATACCCTTTTTTGGGCACATAGTATAACAGTTGTGTATAACACTTGTCAATGGAACCCGCTCAGAAAATGCACAGACATTATGTTTGCAGCATCTAATAAAAATTAACATTTTATTATTTTAACAATTAATCAAATTCGCCTCTGTTAAATAAGACTATTTATATAGCCTATATAGATGTACGGTAAAAATGTTATTGCTACATAAAAGTGAAGTAGAAAGGGTATACAAATTTCGCGATGCTTAGTAAACAGTTTTTTTTATTTGGCAGCAGTCGAATATCTAAATACTGAGCAGCCAAAAAGTATGCAATGGAAATTGTTGTGGCCTTACATGCGCCTAATGTTATGATTTTTAACAGCGGAACATTTAAGGCGCCACCTAGTGAGTGAAGGCAGCAACACAGACTTGTATGTTCCTTTGATACTTTCCTGTCATAACTTTTATAGGAATTTAAGCTTAAGCTTGGCTGTTATACGACAAAGTGTGGTAAAGTCTTTTATAGGAATTGAAGCTTAAGCTTGGGTGTTATACGGCAACGCGTGGTGAAGCCTGGTAAACATTTGGATTATGGTTATCTGTTATGGCTGTCCTATATAAAAAAAGCTCTGTGACTTTGCTACGCTCTCCTGCCGCAAGCTCAAATTAGCCATTCCCCTGGCAACAAATCGAGATTTGGCATAATGTTGAGCAATATGTTGCGAGTGCCGAATAAACTGCTTCGACTGTGAATAAAGTTGCGTGTTGCCTTCTGAAGGACGACAAGTTGGCCACGAAGTGACGAAAATAAAGGATTCCACAAGAGCCAAAATGTCCTCCAGTATATATTGTGATTTTGCACTGATTTGAACGCGCCAGCTAGCGAAATCAAGTGTAAGCAAATTACAGCTGAAGTCACCGTGAAGTCCGTGTGTTGGCTCGTGCGCCCGAGCAGCATGTCCTGTCGTCAAGCCGTTTGAGTTTCAGTCCATTTTTGGCGCTCGCCTGCAATGGATCACGTAACGCGAAAGCCCAGCCAAACGTAGCGCGAGCCTAGCACGTAATGCGTTAAAAGGACGAAACCGACAAGAGCCAAACACAAAACGCGTAACAATTAGCAAGGATATGTGCAGGATATCCCATCTGTGCTGTGCCTAAAACAAAAAGAGAATTATAACCAAAATATCGCAAGCCATAGAAATATGTCATCATGATGGCAACCATGTCCCGGTCCTTCTTCCTGGCGATGATGTCATCCGCGCGCGTCTGCTCCAAAGTGAAAGTGTTGCAGGTCCGACAATTGCGGCTCCTGTCGACCCAAGAGTAAAGTGCGCCAAACGTGAGCCGTAATTAGTTAATTACCAAACAAAAAAACAAGCTGTGCAGTTTAAGTTATACGCAGGATTACGTCGTATCGCGGCAATCGAATTGAAAGGATCACAGCCGAATAAAATAGAAACTATTTACATGTGTATAATGGATATTTTCATATTATTTTGCTGCCTGCTTCAGTTGGCAAGAAATGGTAAGAAATGCTGCCTTACCTAATTTAAGCCAAATGTTGTCAGAAACATAAATATTTTTTGCTTAAGTTTGCATTCGATAGAGATCCGAGCAGAAGTTTTCTTTCAGGACGAATGTCAGATACAAGATACACAGATACACATGGGGCAAAATAGCGTTAAATGTTTTTTTTTTTTATGAAAAACATCAAATAAAAAGCAGCCAAAAATGCGCGAACGTGACGTCAGCCTGTGGGGCTTAGGTGCCAGAGTGTCGGACCAACAAGCGAAAGGTTGCCGGGTCAAACCCAGCAGCTATTTACAATTGTCGATTTTATGTGCTATCATTCACAAAATAAAAGAATAAATGCGCACGTAAAATCGTGATATGATATGCATATAGGCTAAATATAGGCAACACATAAAAGATAATACAAGATATTAATCTAGCCTTGACAAATGCAGAACTTAAGAAACACAGACATTTATATCTTTTATTTTTTCATAAACTTTCCTGCCTCAAAAATAATTTAAATCGATTTTGTTTGAAGCATAAATCGAAGTCAAAAACGTTTACAGTCTGCAAATAAATTTAATTAATTTAATTTTTGATCGAAAAGTTCTTTGAGAATAAATTGTCGAAATTTAAGAAATTTTTAAACATTTTGTTTTCTCTCAAATGAAATCTAACAAAATGACAATTAGCACTTTGCCACCCACATTTTATTTATTTATTTATGCTGTTTTAAGTTAAAAAATTGTCAATTTCATTATATTCAAACTTAAATTCAGATATTTTGCACTAAATGTGATAGAGCTTGGACTTAAAAACAATTTCTGAAAACTTTAAGGCAAGAGATGTTTTCTGACTGCCAGCTGAAATATTTTTAGATCCATCTTTAAAGGAGTTTACTAACATATTTTTATTTTGAGAAAATCATCGATGATTTTTCTACAAAATTTGGTAATTTTTAATGGGCGTGCCTCAACAATTAATGCACTTCCATGAGAATGAATTAGCATATTGCAAATTTCAAGCCATGCAAAATTCTGGCAGCAAAAGGAATTTTTCACAAAAGCTCAGCTGAGCATGAGAAGCAGGAGTGCTCAGATGGGGAGTGCACGACTAAGCGATGCCCTGTAACGATTAAATAATTAATGCCAAAAGTAAAAATATAGGCAAAAATTTGAGAAATGTTGTATCTGTGTGTAACATACGATGCACCAAATAGAGAATATATATATGGA